AATGGCCTCCTCGAGGTGCAGCCACCGCGTTGCCGCAGTTGAGCTGGTGGCAGAGGACGGTGGCATCTGCTATGTCCCAGTGGGTGGCACAGAGGGGCGCCCAGGACCCCTGCACCTGGAGCTCCACACGGCCCTCACAGCTGCTGCTGCCATTGACCAGCCTGAACTCTGGGGGAGAGGAAGAGTCAGCGTGGCTCGCAGACAGCAGACGGCAGACCCAGCACATGGCTGGCTGTGGTCATTTCCTTCCTTCACACCCAGTGGGGTGGGCACAGAGCCCAGCCCTGCTCTCACCAGCTCCTCTGCCCTCCTCTGCCTCAGCATGCAGCTCACACAGCTCTCCAGAAGAATCTGATCTTAGCTGCAGCCTTGGGGCACATCACTCTACACCTAGTCTCTTCCCTGCTTCTTTCAACCAACTGAAGCAAACATCCAAAGCACCCACACCTACCGGCCAGAGGCACCTTTAGGGCATGAAGGGATTTGGCAGAGAACAAGGCAGGGATGAGCCTTCAGAGCCCACACACAGGACCTCACCTGAGCACCTGAGCCCTGCGTCACGGCCGGGCCCACACTGGCTCCCATTTCCCCGCGGGCAGTGGAACAGCAGCGACTCGTCGCCTGCACAGCGGAAGGTCTCCGTCCACACCGGCCCCGAGGCCCGGCCGAAGCAGGAACCCTTGGGTGTGGACACCGCCACCCCGCACTGCAGCTCCCGGCACACCACGTGGGCCGTGGCCAGGTCCAGGTCTGTGTCACAGATGGTGCCCCAGGTCAGGCCCCGCCTCACCTCCAGGCGCCCGGCGCAGGGGTGCTCGCCGCCCACCAGCCGGGCCTCGGTGTGTCCTGGGGGCAGACATCCTCTCAGGCGCGAGACAGGTGTTCTCAGGTCAACTGCCTGGCCCTGAGCCTTAGACTGCAGAAGGCTTCAGCCAGGAGCCATCATCTGTATCTAGGCAGAGGGTCTGCCAAGCACAGGCAGGAACTTGCAGCCAGAGGCCCTTCCCCCCTGCACCCAGAGAAGAGCAGGCGTCTTTGGCCGCATCGCCAAGGTCAGGGTCAGGGTCACCTGCTGCAGGTGCCCACGTATTTCACAGCCTCTGCCTGTCCGGGGCCATGACAGCAACACTCTCTGCAATCCCAGAGGCGATTGGGAGGCGTCAGGGCACCCCTTGGTCCACAGAGCACCACCCTCTCTGGGGTACTGCAGCAAGCAGACTATCCACCTCATTTCAGCTGCTCTTCATACAAGGCCAGGAGCTGTGAGGCCAGTGCAGCTCACACACACTTGAGGCAGGGCTGGGAGGACGTGACCTCTACCCAACCCCAATCCTTAGACATGCAGAGATCACAGCTGAGGCAGCTCCGACTTACACCAGCAGCCAGGACCCCTAGATGGCCTGCGGGTTCTGAGCCAGGACACCTCTGCGGGGCCACCAGAAACTCAGCTCCGCTCTGCTGAGAACCAGCGTGAGAGCTGAGTCCCGTTCCCTCCAGCTGCACATGCACCAGGTCTGCGCCCACTGTCTCATGTGGGACAGGAGCCCATCCGTGGGGACGCCCACCGCTTCTCCCTGCTCTCCCCAGGTCCAGGCCCAGCATCATCCCAAGGGTCACTGGGAACATCGCGTGGCAGCCTCACCTGAGCAGACCACCTCTGCATCCAGCCGCAGGTCGCAGCTGCCACGGAAGTTGTTGTCCAGTCTGCAGCTGCGGATGGTGGGCTCGGTGCCCCTGCAGGCCAGGTACTTCCTGACGACGCCCACGTCCCGGCGGGGGGCCTGGAGCACAGGGCCGCACCCCAGCTCCCGGCAGAACACCATCGCCTCCTCCATGTGCAGGCCACAGAGGCGGTCCACCCCGTTCACGTTTCTGATCTCGGGGAGCCCCGCGCAGGGACTGCGGCCCTGCACCAGCCGGAGCTCCCGGAATGTGCCGTCTGTGGAGCACAGGCCCGTCTTCCGTGAGGTATGGACCCAGCTGCCCACATGGTCACTTGGCAGCTCCTTTTTCAGGGAGGACAGTGCTGCGCTGCGGAGGGCCAGCTTCAGGGGCAGGTGACCGGGCAGTCACACAGGGCCCGGGGCTCAGAGAGGCCCCCTGTGCCCAGCTTCATGCTCTGCTGCCGGTCTCCTGAAACAAGGGTCCCCACAGGGTCCCTTCACACTGGGCCCCCAGATGATAGGAGGTCCTGGCCAGGTGGTTCCGCTTCAGAGGCAGGACGCTATGAGGGGTCCTTACAGCCACACAAAGTCTGAGGGACAGCTGAGGACCCTGAGGCCAGACCTCAAATGCAAAGCGTGTACCTTTCTGTCATTTGTGTAAGAAACTACCATCAGCTACCTGTGTGGGCCTCAGGCGTCCACAGACCCCGCCCCCTCTCGGCTGCTACCTCCCCATGCCTGGGCCGCACTCTGCTTCCTTCGTGCACTCTCTGACTGTCCCTGGCGGTGGTTTTTCCGCAGCTGAATCTTACAGTCAGGATGGTTCCGGTGCCCAGCGAGGAGCCCCTCCCAGAGAGAGCTCCAGACCCACGGCCTCCCTGCCCACCTCGGAGACCCTCCCTGTCCTCCCACTCCTCCTCCCCAGCCCGCCCCCTTCACTCCTCCCTACTTACTGGAGCACAGCGCGACCACCACCCATGTGTGGGGGCACGGGCTCTGGCTCCATGAGCCAAGGCTGCACTCCCAGAGGGAGGACTCGTTGCCCCGGCAGGACACGTTGTGGAGCCAGGGCTGGGCCATCTCTCCAGGCAGCGGGACATACTTGGGGGCGCCCACGGCAGGACCGCAGCCCAGCTGCCTGCACACCACAGAGGCCTCTGCCAGCGTCCACTCCTGGTTGCACACGTATCCCCACGCCCCGTGGTGTCGGACCAGCACCACTCCGTCGCACGTGCTGTGTCTGTAGGCCAGCCTCAGAGCGCCTGGTCCACCTTCAGACAGACAGGTCCAGTTAGAGGGGCCAGAACCAACCAGAGGCTCAGGAGGAAGCTGGCAGCAATGGCAGCTCTGGCGGCAGCAGGGAACGGCCTGCGAGGCCTCAGCGGCAAGTCGGGTTCCTTTCATCCCATGAAGCAGTCCCAGAGAGGTGATGGGCGCGGCTCACACAGAAACCCTCACCCCATGTGTCTCCCCCGGGGCTGCTCCCCTCCCCGGCCCTCTGAAGCCCCAACATCATGGAGGACCCCACCCCCAGGCAAGGAAGTCCCCTGTCCTCCTGGGTGTGCAGCTGGGGCGGGTCCTCCCACCCACTCCTTGCCTCCCAAGCATCATTCCCCCGCTTCCACTGGAGGCCCTGTGGTCTCCAGCCCACCACTGTCACCCCTGCCCCACCCACGTGACTGTCCACACCCCTTGGAGTGCTCTGCTCACCCCTCGCTCCTGTCCTCTGCAACCCTGAGCGTCCAGGAAAACACCCCCTGCCTGCCCTGCCACTACACCAAACCCAGCCCCACTACCCCACCCACACCCGCCTTCCAGCCAGGATCTCAGTCTCCACAGTTTCCGAGCATCTCAGATGCCCCAGCACCTTCTCTCCCACCCCCCACGGAGGCACCCCAACCACCCTCTCCAGTCCTCTGTACCCCCACATCAACACAGCCACCCCGAGAGGAAGCACCACTAGGAGGAACTCCATGTGGGTGGTGCTGTGGTCCCAGAGCAGCCTCCAGGGCCCCTGGAGGACTCTCCACACCCAGAAAAGAGCCCCCCAGATGGCAGTCAGGAGCAGAGGGGCGACCCTGCCTGGTCCAAGATGAAGACCTTTCCCTCCCACCTCGTGGGGAGCCTTGAATTCCCTCCCTCTCAGTCTTCCTCCATCCCTCCACACCCCCCAGCCTCCTCATCACCCTCCCACCTGGTTCTCCTCAGGACATGGATGTGTGCTGGTGTCTGTGATTGACTGATTTACTTAGAGACAGAATCTCGCTCTGTCACCCAGGCTGGAGTGCAATGGCACGATCTCAGCTCACCGTAACCTCCACCTCCAGGGTTTAAGCAATTCTCATGCCTCAGCCTCCCATGTAGCAGGGATTACAGGCGCACGCCACCACGACTGGCTAATATTTGTATTTTTAGCAGAGATGGGGTTTCACCATGTTGGCCAGGCTGATCTCGAACTCCTGACCTCAGGTAAACTGCCTGCCTTGGCCTCCCAAAGTGCTGGGATTACAGGCATGAGCCACTATGCCCGCTACGAATGGCTTTTTATACTGTATTTTCTAAAGCTATTTCTTGTTGTAGTAGAGAATTCCGGCCCTTGTGCTTGCGATCTTTAACACAAAAGCAAATCCCTTCAACCCCAGGATTCCATCCATCTATGGCCACACTGCTGCCTTTCCTTCAAATCCCAACCCCCTCTGCCCTCTGTGCAGCTGCTCACAGACTCCCACCCCACCACTGGGGGTGCAGCTCCATTCGGCACCAGGTCACCGCCCTGCTGGGTACCTGGACCAGCCCTGCCAGTGAAGTGTTCCTCAGCCTCGAGGGCACCCTCCCGTGCCTCCCGCCCAGCCCCACACTCGTGTCATGGCTCCGTGTACGCAGGTCCCCAAGGCTCTCTCTCACCTCCAGCCTCTCCTGCTCTTCCTTCTGGCTGGACCCCCCTCTCTACAGCTGCCTGCTCTGACCCAGCAGCCCTTCCACATGGCCCCACACCCCAGCGTCCCCACCTGGGTGCAGCATCTCTGTGGGACCCCATGCTCAACCTCACTGCCAGATGCAGCCAACCCTCCCACCTCCTTCCCAGGACCTCAGCCCTGCTCCAGGGGACATGGATGGAGCAGCCCCCACAGGACCCCTCAGGACTCTGCTGATCGGGGTCATTGGGACCAGACACTGGGCCGTGTCCCTCATTTTGTCCAGGGCCTGACCCAGCCCTGTGCCCTGGGTTCCGAGCAGTGGGGTTAGGGGCTGGGGGCCCTGAGGTCACAGGGATCCAGCCATGTGGAGCCACCTCCCTCCTGCCCCAGCATGCCTGATGCACTCTGGGCTGAGTGAGACCCAGACAGACAGCAGGTCACTGCAGGGACCCTCATGCCCCGGGGCCTGGGCATCGACAGAGCTGCTGCCTCCAGAAAGTTCCATGGATGAAGGAAGGAGAAACTTACCAGTGGGGACTGCCCAGAGATTGAGAAGAAGGGGCCCGAGTCCCAGGATCCAGAGAGCTGCGTACATGGTCCCACAGCCCTCTGGGCTTCAGCAAGTCCTCACTGCTTAGCTGGGGCAACGGTGGAGGTCACAGCCCAGAGGCACATACACAGAGGTGAGAGCTGCCAAGGACGTCCTGGGGCCAATGGGGACAGCCACAGCCTTTCCAGAGCGAATCAGCAGCTCTGCCTCTCAGCCGTGAGCAGAGCAGCCAATGCCTTGCTGGCCTGAGCATCACCAGACATGGGGAGGGTGCAGGCTGTGGGTTTCCTCCCACACTGATAGCTGCTGATGGGACTAGACGCAACCACCAGGCAGGTGGTCGAACCTGCCCACAGCACAGCATCAGTGAAGCCCTGCATCTCCGCCCTCCACCTGGGCCCGTCGGCTTCAGCCATGCCACCACCACAGAAGGCAGTGACGCCAGACAGCCAGGGAGGCGTCCTCCGTGCTGCCAGATGGCACTAGTAGAATTAGGGGTAGGGGTAGGGTGAGGGTTTGAGTGGGAGTCCCAGCAGCACCAGAAGAATGACACGGAAGAACTATGCAAGAACTCTGAGAACTGAAATGTCGTTGGAACCAAAACTCTTGAGAGAAGATACAGCTAAGAATCACTCATGATATGAAGACCCAGGGACACGACCATTTCAATAAGAGACAATCAACTGAGGCCAGCACCAGGAAGACTTGGGTGTCAGAATTATCTAGCAAGGATTTTAAAACAGGCATCATAAAACTGTTTCCATAACAAATTGCAAATCCCCTTGAAATAAATGGAAAAATAGAAATCTCAGCAAAGAAATAGAAGTTATAAAAATGAAACAGTCTAGGCGCGGTGGCTCACACCTATAATCCCAGCATTTTGGGAGGCTGGGGCAGGTGGATCACCTGAGGTCAGGAGTTCAAGACCACCCTGGCCAACATAGTGAAACCCTGTCACTACTAAAAATACAAAAATTAGCCGGGCATGGTGACGTGCACCTGTAGTCCCAGCTACTCGGGAGGCTGAGACAGGAGAATCGCCTGAACCCAGGAGGCAGAGGTTACAGTGAGCTGAGATTGCACCACTGCACTCTAGCCTGGGTGACAGAGTAAGAATCTGACTTAAAAAAAAAAAATGAAACAGTGGTAAGGATGTGCAGAAATGGGAACTCTCAGATTTTACTGGTAGACTGCAAAATGGTGCAACTGCTTTGAGAAAGTTTGGCAGTTTGTCCACATGTTAAATAGAGATATTCCAGGAAGATACCACTTGAGCCCAGGAAGGGCAGTTCCACTGTGGGGTACATATCTAAGAGGAATGTAAACTTATGTGCACACAAAAATCTCTACATGAATGTTCATGCAGCATTATTCATAATAAAGATGAAAACAGCTCACGTGTGCATCAACTGATAAATGGATAAAGAAAATGCAGTATGTCCATATTATAGAACGTCACTGAGCTGTAGAAAGGGAACGAGGCACCCACACCGACTAGATGTGCATCAACCTTGAAAACATGCTCAGTGAGAGAAGCCAGACTTAAAAGACCACATACTGGGTACGATTCCATTCATATGAGGTTTCCAGAATAGGCAAATCAATAGACATGCAAATTAGATTAGTGGTTTCCAGGGGCTAGAGGAGGAGGAAAGAGAAAAGGACTGAAAATAGTAGAGTGTTTTTATTTTTTATTTTTATTTATTTATGTAATTTTTTACTGGGAGACAGAGTCTCACTTTCTTGTCCAGGCTGGAGTGCAGTGGCATAATCATAGCTCACTGCAGCCTCAACTTCCTGGCCTCAAGTGATCTTCCTACGTTAGCCTCCTGAGTAGCTGGAACTATAGGTGCATGCCACCATGTCTGGCTGATTTTTAAAATTTTTTGTAGAGATGGAAAGTCTTGCTTTTACCCAGGCCGGTCTCAAACTCCTGGCCTCATCTGACCCTCCTACCTTGGCCTCCCAAAGTGCTGAGATTACAGGTGTGAGCCACCACAGCCAGCTACAGGATGTCTTCATAAGGTGATGAAAATGTTCTGAAATTAGCTAGTGATGATGGTTGCATAATCCTGAATATACTAAAATCCTCTGCACCACACACTTTAAGAGAGTACATTTATGATATATGAACCTCAATCAAGTTGTTTTTAAAATAAATGAATATTATAGAACTGAAAATATAATAACCGAAATGTTAAAAACTCAATGAACGGACTTGTAGAATGGAAATGACAGAGGATGACACCAGTGAACTTGAAGATACATCAATAGAATTTACTCAATGCAAACAACAGAGAGAAAATAGAAACATTTATAGAGCCTCAGGGATCTGTGGGACAGTAATAACAAGACTTAATCTTTGTATCATGGGAAATCCGGGAAAGTTAAGAGAGAGTGCTGGGCTGAAAATGTATTTAAAGTAACAATTACTGAAAACTCTCCAAATGTGGTGAAAGGCACAAAACTACAGATTCAAGAAGCTGAGAAATCCCAAATAAGATGAATTCAAAGACATTCACACCAAGACACATAATTAAATTTTTGGAAACTAAAGGAAAAAAAAATCCTAAAAACAGCCAGACAGAAAGGATGCATTGACTATAAAAAATAGTCATGTGAATTACAGGTAATTTCTCATCTGAAATGGAAGCAAGTAGGAAGTGCCTTATTTTTAATTGACATGTAAGAATTGTACATATTTATGGGATACAGAGTGATATTTTGATACATGTATGCAATGCATAATGATCAAATCAGGGTAATTACCAAGCCCATCAAACATTTATCATTCATCTGTTGGGAACATTCAAAATCCTCTCTTCTAGCTATTTGAAAATACACAAGTTACTGTGAATTACAGTCACCCCACAAGAGCTACAGAACACTGAAACTTATTCCTCTGTAACTTTGTATTTATTAAACAACTTCTCCCTATCTGCTTCTCCCCTAACCCTTCCCAGTCTCCAGTAACTCTAATTTTACTCTTCTAATATGAAGTCAATTTCTTAGTGCTGACATATGAGTAACAACCAGCAGTATTGCAGTATTGAACTTTTTCTACCTGATTTATTGCACTTAACATAATGTCCTACATGCACACACTGCTACAAATGGCAAGTTTTTTTTGTTTTTGTTTTTGTTTTTGTTTTTGTTTTTGAGACGGAGTTTCACTTTTGTTGCCCAGGCTAGAGTGCAATGGCGCAGTCTCGGCTCACTGCAACTTCCACCTCCCAGGTTTAAGCGATTCTTCTGCCTTAGCCTCCCGAGTAGCTGAGATTACAGGCACGTGGCACTACACCCAGCTAATTTTTGTATTTTTAGTAGAGACGGGGTTTTGCCATGTTGGCCAGGCTGTTCTTGAACTCCTGACCTCAGACCAGAGACCTCAGGTGATCCACCTGCCTTGGCCTCCCAAAGTGCTGACATTACAGGTTTCTTTATTTTATTTTTTTTCTTGAGACACTCCCAGGGTCTTATTGTGTGGCCCAGGTTGGAGTACAGTGGCATGATCTTGGCTCACTGCAACCTCTGCCTCCTGGACTCAAGCAATCCCCCCATCTCAGCCTCCCTAGTAGCTGGGACCACAGGTGCATGCCACCACACCCAGCTAATTTGTTTGCATTTTTTGCAGAGATGGGGTTTCACCATGTTGCCCAGGCTGGTCTCAAATTCCAGGACTCAAGCAATCCACCCGTCTTGGCCTCCCAAAGTGCTGGGATTACAGGTATTAGCCACCATGCCGGGCCTATTTCATTCTTTTTTATGGCTTAATAGTATTCCATTGTGTATGTATATTACATTTCCTTTATATAGTTACCTATTAATGAACACTTAGGCTGATTCCATGTCTTGTCTTTTGTGAATAGTGCTGCAGTGAACATGGGGGTACAGACGTCTCTTCAATACACTAATTTCCCTTCCTTTGGATAAATACCCAGTAGTGGGATTGCTGGATTATATGGTCGTTCTATGTTTATTTTTTTGAGGAAACCCCATACTGTTTTCCATAATGGCTGTACTGATTTACATTCCCACCAACAGTGTGTAAGTTTTACCATTTCTCTGCATTCTCACCAGCATTTGTTACTGTTTGTCTTTTAGATAAAAGCCCTTCAGACTTGGTTGAGATTATATCTTATTGTGGTTTCAATTTGCATTTCTCTGGTTATTAGTGATGTTGAAGTTTTTTCCATATGTTTTGGCTCTTTATATGTTTTCTATTGAGAAATGCCTATTCAGAAACTTTCACCCATTTTTTAATCAACTTAATTTTTTTTTGCTCTTGAGTTGTTTGAATTCCTTATATAATCTAATTGTTCACTCCTGGTCAGATGTATAATTTGCAAATATTTTCTCCCATTCTGTTGGTTGTCACCTTGTCATTTGTTTCCAGTGCTGTGCAGAGGGATTTTAGATTGGTATATGCCCATTTGTCCATTTTTGCTTTCATTACCAGTGCTTCTGAAGTTTTGTTCATAAAATCTTTGCCCAGACCAATGTCCTGACTCATTTCCCCTATATTTTCTTCTGGTAGTATTATAGTTTGGATCTTACATTTAAGTCTTTAATCCATCATGAGCTGATTTTTACATGGTGAAAAGATAGAGGCCTAGTTTTATTTTCTGCATATGAATATCCAGTTTTCCCTGCACCATTTATTGTAGAAGGTATACTTTCCGCAAATGTGTTCTTGGCACCTTTGTCAAAAGTCGGTTAGGGCTGTAATTATGTGGATTTGTTTATGGGTTCTGCATTTTGTTCAATTGCCCTGTGTGTCTGTTTTCATACCAGTACCATGCTGTTTTGGTTACTATAGCTTTGTAGTATGTTTTGAAGTCTGGTAGTGTGATTCCTCCAACTTTGCTCTTTTTGGTCAGGATTGTTTAGCTATTCAGGGTCTTTGTGGTTTCATAGGAATTTTAACAGTCTTTTTTCTATTTCAGTGAAGAATGTAATTTATATTTTGATAGGAATTGCATTGAATCTACAGATTGTGTGGACAATATGGTTATTTGGACAATATTAATTCTTCCAATTCATGAACATAGGATGTTTTTTCTTTATTTTGTGTCATGTTCAATTTCTTACATCAGGGTTTTGTTGTTTTCATTG